CCCCGTTCATTAGGAAGATTTTAATTGCCAGAATCTAAAAGAGTTTAAAAGTCATCAAAAAGAAGGGCTGCTGGTTTTTTATCTCCTTTTATTTCTTGAAATATGAGCGAACAGGCCAAAACAGAGATGTCATGTGGGGATCAGGGCAGGGCTGCACCTTGGTACCCCCTGAGGAAGTGGTGGCAGTCCAGCCGGCTTCTCAATCAGGATGTTGGCCTGCCGCCTCTGCTGGAGCCGGGGGACGCTCGGTGGATGGATGTGGAGCGGCTCCAGAGGAGTCTGGCAGGATGCTCCTGGCCGGGGTACATACCCGCTCCTCCGCTGTTCGTGCCCTACATCTCTGGGTCGGCGCATCAACCCGGCCAGAAGATCAGCAAGTGGAGGGTCAGCATGGACGTGGCTCACTTCTCCCCCTCAGAGATCTCTCTCAGCGTCAGAGACGGATTCCTGGAAGTTGAAGGTACAGGACTTTGGGTTACATCTCTGTTAATTAAACACCTCGAAGAAGTTCACTTCATTAACATTGCTAATTACTTTCACACCCAGGCTAGTTTCTATATTTAATAAAAACATGAATAATCTTATCTGGTTTGATCTCAGAGAGGTACAGAGTTATCTAAATAGACTTTTCTCACAGTTCACAGAATAAACCCCCTGAAAACCAAACAGTGACGGAAAGAAAAGCTGAATGTAACAAAAATTACAAAGCTGCTTAAATAATGTGCTTGGGGAAATTAAAATCACAGCTCTGTGGCAGAAATTAATTTCTGTGTTGAGTGGTTTCTCCGTGTAGCCTGATTCCTCTGTGTGTCCTCGCATTCTTCCCCATAAACGCTAATTCCTCCCCAGGGAGACACGAGGAGCGGCCAGATGAGCATGGATTTATTGCCAGATGTTTTACAAGGAAATACAGGTATGCAAAGTAAACACTGACACTAACCTGTGGATGATGACACACAGATTAAACAGCGGTCTGAAGCACCGAGGGCGAGCTTTGACAGCATCCAATCTCTAAGATGCTCACTGAGCTGAAAAATTAGATATTACCTCCATTTGTCTCAGTACTTGCACTCTGTGTGTAGCGACACTGTAAACATGCTTGTGTCACTTTCAGGCTCCCGGTTGAAGTGGACGTAACAAAAATCACATCCATGCTTTCTGTTGATGGCATTCTGACTGTGGAGGCTCCGGTTCCTGAAACCTCTGTTCCTGCTGCCATCCTCATTCCTATAAAGGTGATCCCAGCTGGGAAGATCAATAACACTGACACATCTGTCTGGTCAATTGCGATTCTAGAGCCAGCAGTCGGTTAGCTCGGTACTGGCTAGCCCGGCTCTGACCAAAAGTTACAAAACCTGTCACTCCAAAGCTCGCTAATGGGTTTCATCTCAGTTGTTCAACGCATACAAACGACTGGAATGGAGTGTTTACCAGGCAGACATGAAAGTGGTATTGATCTCCCAGAACAAAAAGCAAAAATACAAAGATGAAGACTAAACAATATCTGCAGATTGCATCACATTTTTTTTGTAACTTATAAATTCAGTGTTAAAGTGGAGCAAGAAAGCTGATCTTTGACAGAGTTGTGCACAAATGCAGGTGGAGATAGAAGGTACTGGAGAGGAAGAAGAGGCCTCTCATACAGATGCAGATACCTGCACAGCACCAGGCCACCCAGAGGCTGCATCTTCAGAGAATCAAGAGGAAATGTCTCCTTCAGAGGTCCAACTTGGCAGCACCACAGCTGGCCTTCAACAGCACGAAGAGAGGAGGGAAGAGGAGGAGGAGGAGGGCGATGAAAAGCCAGCTGGAGTGAGCCGCCCTTCAGCGCCTGCAGACGACAAAGGCGCAGAGAGTCTTCAAGATTCTCCTGAGCGCCACCAAATGCTGGAGAGCCAAGAAAGCCCAGTCGAGTCCAAACAGCTGGAGCACAAAGAAGCGGCCGTGGACGGAGAGATCCAGGTAATGGCGGGCTCAGAGGAAGCTGCTGAGGAGATCACCCAGCCCGTGGAGCAGGAGCCGGGCAGCGGTCCACAGAGCGACGTCCAGAGCCAGGAGCTGGAGGCTGCCGGCATAAAGCAAGAGCACACCGAGTGAACACACATTAAAACACAATATCATGAAGGCGAAATCCTGAAACAGTCTGCACAGCTTGTCCAGTTCCACAGATGCATTTTAGTCAATAGCCGTATAACCATGCTGTCTCTGGAGCTCCAATAAAGCACCAGCGTGTGAAAATGCTAAATATTGTGTCGTGTGTTCTGCTACCAAATGCTTTTGTGTCCTCGCAATCTTAAAGTGAATCGTTGGCCAGTTCTGTGTGAATTCGCAGCTGTTTATGAATAACAAGTGGTCACATTTATGAGAATCATGCTCACAATTGCCTCTGAAACTGTGCGAGTGCAAAATGTAAAAAAGTGATTCATTATCAAGCTGTTTCAGTGAAGGGCTTCTGACATTACTCAAATACTATAAGTTTGCACAGCTGTGCATTAGTCACTTCTACATGAATAACTTGCCCAAGGAGAAACTGGCGCTGATCCAGTCTTGCTGTTACCATGGCAACAGCATAATTGAAGTCCACACATATAATCTGACACCATTAAATACAGCAGTACACACATCACACAAAGCGGCGCCTTTTTTTTTTTTTTGCAAAAGCTGAAACTTGCGGAAGCCTTTTGTTGAGCATCTCCAGTTTGGAAACTTTTTAAATTCAAACCGATCTCTTGATTCCAACACACAGAGGAGATTACATTATTTTGCATCACACAACATGCAATGGAACTGCCCCAATTTTTCTTTTTTTTTTCTCTTTTTTTTGCAACTCGCATTCAAAAGCTCTGGCAGGGCTGCCTCAATGAGTTCGGTCCATTCTGCAGCCACACAGCAGTGCCAATCTCACCCAGCACTAAGCCCTCCGCTAATCTGCTGCCCAATTCCTTCTGTTATCCAACAATAACACCACGGGCTCTCTGGATCCCTGGAACCGGGCCCGCGAGTGGCACGGCTCTCAATGAAAGACACAGATGTTAAGACACACTGGGAGATTGGCCGGACATTTTTATTGCATCAGTCAATACAAAGACATCAAGAGAAAAGAAAAGGCAGGAAACAAACGTCTTTGGCGAAAAAAGCAAGTCGGCCCGACCATCATGCAGCCACCGTCCTGAACGTTCAAATAGAAAAGAAGAATGCAAACCGTACGGCAAAAAGGTGGAACACTTCAGATTAATGTTTATAATGAACTGACACGTATTAAAGTATATGTACAATACACTTTGGAAGAATACAGTATGAACGCACACGTTTCACCCTCGAACGCCTTCAGCAGAGTTTGTATAATATTACTTTAAGTGACATTTAATAGCTGAGAAGATAAACTGAAACAGGTCAAATAAATAAAGGCACATTTGTTGTTGTTTTTTAAAAGCACAGAAGACGGCGATGCAGAGACTCTTCCATTAAATGAACTTCACGTTAATATGAACACAAATGACCAAGACCATGTTAAACTGGTGCAGCCCCTGATTTTCAACATCTCCCCACATTTTGCACATACAAACAACATATAACCAGTCAATCATGTATAACACATCATGATACAAGCATGTTTAAGGGCCAAATATAATCACTAAACAACAAGTAAAACTCCTCGAAAGAAGCAACCTGTTAATGAAAACCTGATAATATGATGTAAGTAGTTGTATAACAATGCGTTTGTGTGTGATCATATATATCATCAACCCGTTTGATATTAAAGCTTCGTTATGTAACTTATTGTGTGACAGAGTTTAAATTAGACTGAACTGAACTGAAATAAAGTTCCTGGTAGTCAGACAGAACGTCCTTGAACGTGTTTATCGGTTAACTGGGGTCGCAGCACAAACACTGGCTTTGGACGCCTCACAGAACATCTACACTGAAGAAACAAGACATTACGATGATCGTGGTGCGTTATAAACCATTTGTTAGTTAATTATGCACTGACTGCAACTGCAAAATAGAGGAGTTGTTTGGATTTTTTATAAATGTTTAATCATAAAATGCACTAAATGCCAACAGCCACGTTTAACAAACCGTCTGGTCTGTACAGCTTTTTGTTTTTTGGTATGTAAGACACCAAACAGCCTCTAAAATAAGAGTGCTGCTGCTGCTCATTTGGGCATTTGGAAATAAAATGAAATAATAAAAATAATATTTAAAAAAAGAAATAATTAAAACAGAAGTAATTCTGTAACTTTTTTTATTTTTAGAAAGTTGATAAATTCTTAATTTAAGCATGCTTTAAAAAAAAAAAAGAAATATTTGCATTTTCTTATTAGCTGTTTATGACCTTTAGATTTTGCAGTTTAACTCCAATGAAAGAATGTCAACAATCCAACATGTCACTATGAGATTTGGGAAACTGCCACAGTACTGTTTACAATTAAATATAAAATCGCTAAATTAATTGGTAGCTACTGTTAGGACTGAATCTGAATTTCATTAAGGCAGTCTTGGGAACAATCTACAGCAGGAGTGTCGAACTCTGGTCCTCGAGGGCCACAGTCCTGCATGTTTTAGATGTTTCCTTCTTCCAACACACCTGATTCAAATGATCAGCTCATCATCAAGCTCTGCAGAAATCGGAAAGATCTAAAACTTGCAGGATTGCGGCCCTCGAGGACCAGGATTGGACACCCCTGATCTACAGTGTCACTGTTGTTGAGGCTTTTGATTGTTGCAGCTTGTAAAAACAATACCTGCCTATACCTGCTTCATCCTGCAGAGGGCCGCGGGGGAGCTGGAGCCTCTTACGTCGGGTCGACAGTTCATCAGCTAACAAACACACGACCAGGCACGCTCACATTCACACCTACAGCCAATTTAGAATCACCGATTAACTCACCAAGCGCTCGAGGAAGCTGAAGCACAGTGAGAACATAAAAAGTGCACACAGACGACCAGCAGGTTCAAACCTTCTTGTGTAGTTTCAACGTTTAAAAAAAACAAAAAACTGCCTGATACAGCTTTAATGTGGACATCAAATAGGACTTTACACATTTTAATTCCAGATGTCTAACAACATGAACGTTTAATATCAAACTTGTAACTGCTTGTGCAGGATGCTATTCGGGAGGTTCAGGCCATGGAGGCCTCCTGGGGTTTGGGGGAATCCACTTCCTGCGTTTCTCCAGCCGGGGAGCCGTCGCTGCTGAACAGGTAGTACGGAGGCGTCTGCCGAGCTTCGATGATGAGGACGCCCTCCGGGGACAAAGAGGCGAACACCGTCAGAGGGTCCACGTCTACGGGGATCCTGATGAAGCAGGAGAAAAGTGATGGTCTGAGTGTTTTAGTGGGAAAAGTTTACTCGGAGGAGAACATTTAAAGCCTGTGTGGGAGGAAGGAAATGAGGAGAGCAGCGAAACAGTCGAGTTCCCTCTTGGAGGTCACACAAAACTCCGTGACACGTTCCCTCTATATAGGAGCTGCTGTGCAAACATTTTTGAATGCTGGGGATTTATTTTTTTTTTTATTGACACTCTGTCAATGCCCATAAACAGCCTCCAGTTGGATGATTTTGCTGCTTCTGGGGGAAGAGAACGACTTGGCTCATGATTTAGACTGTTATTAAAAACAGTCACTGCGTCCTCCCTGGCTAGCGCTCGTTCTAGAAAAAAAACAACTATCTCCCACCCAGGAGATGAGCTGAAAACCATCCCCAGCTTTCATTAAAAAGCTCTGCCACAAAGAGGAGACAACACAAGGTTGATCCAGGTGTGAGGCTTCCCCCTGAAATGAATTCCAATTAATGAGATTGCCTCCTTTTGAAGTTTGACACCTGTACATTTCCACCGGTGTGTACTTTCCTAATCTGTCATATAGGCAACAGCTAATTCTGTGTCAGGCGTGGCTTTTTTTTTTAGATTTATTTTGTATTTTGGCATTATTTATGTTTCTGACTGGTGAAAATATGATATTTTCCAGAGCAGAGTGGGATAATTGGCTTCTATAAGGGTTTCATTCCATTATTGTACGCACACATTAGGTAAGATGAGTTACATTCAAGTGTATTTTGAGAAAAAAAAATAGACCTCACTTTGGAATGAAAAGCTGCCGCACACAGATGCAGGCAAACTCTGTTCTTTGTCAGACAGCGTGGCCAAATATGGCCATTGTAGGTCCTCTGTGAGAGCGGCCAAGTATGTTCAGAGTTAATATAAACACCGTTCAGAGGAGGAGACTGCGGGTCTGCCCTCCGTTTAATTAGCGAGGACGCTCCGCTGGCTCCCACTCGGCTGCGAAATACAGAAAAGTCAGAACGGACTCGAGAACCTCGCAGGAGCAGGACAGACGGGTCAAGTCAGGTCTATTTGTGAAACCAGACGTCACTCATAATGTGTCACTGAGCTGTAAAAAAAAAATTCACTTCAGCAATCATTTCCAGGCCACAGATCACCCCGAAAGAAATACATAAATACATAAATACATAAATACCACCTAAAAAAAACAAAAAACTAGATAATACAAATTAGATAATACAGGAAAACCAATAACTACAGATACAAGTGCAGTATAGAAGCAAAAGAAGTAAAAGAACAAAAAATACACTGTAAACAAACAAACAAACATGATTTCTAATTTAATAACAGCCATCTCTTAACAAATACAGCAACTTCTCCAAACTAAAAATCTATTTTCTAGCCTCACATTAGATCACGTGTTTTATTGTTCTTCGGCTTTTTAACGTTGAATGAAGTATATTTACAGACATTATTAAATTACTAAGCTGGATAGATAAATAGAAATCAGACCAGATAATTCTCATTTAACAAACACATCTATGTACGATTAAAGAATCAATACGTATTTGTCTGTTGTGACTCATTTGATCTAATTTTAGAAACATGTTCACAATATTTAACTTGAATTCAACTATTTGATCTAATTCTCATAAATTGGTGCTTTTATACAGAAAAAACATTGTTTTTCATTCAAACTTTATCCTTATTTATCTGCAGGTTTATTAATATTTACACGTATTTTAAAGATACATAAAAAAATTGTGAAATGAAAGAAGTCAGTCCTGTAAAATAAAGACTTTTCTACAGTGTGGGGGAAAAGGATAAATCAAGAAAAGGTTGTAACAGTACAGCATCTAACTGTGGGATTATAGTAAATCAAGTTTAGATAGAACAAGAGCAGCACAGTCGGTGTGCTGAGATAAGCTGGCGGCCGGCGGAGGCTAAACGAAGGTCCTGAGGTTTAAAGACGACACTCACAGGACTCATATCGAATGCTGCACGACGACGCCATCAAACTCACTCTTCCTTGTTTTCTAAAAATACTTTTGTCATTTTCCTCATCACCTTTAGGACAGAAACATCTTCAGCATCATTTGTTCTCAGAATGAGATGTCAGGGTCGAGCAGTTATCGTCTGCTGCTGCTGCTGCAGCCACAGACTCAGTCACCGCCGACTGCTCACAGGGAAACGTGTGCAAATAACTGCAGTGTGACATGTTTTCAGGTGAAATGTTCAAACAAGACAGAGAACCTGCTAAATGCAAAATGCTGCATGCTAACGTAAACATTACAACACGTTAGCGTGTCCCAGTGACCACACAAACATGCTCACAGAGACAATGCTAACATGCTAGCAGCTAGCTGGTACAATCCTGCTGTCAGTGTGTGTGTCTCTATTTTTATTTTTTTATTTTTGTTTCATTTCAACAATACAGTGATAACAGTAAAAATAATCTAGGGCTAAATGGCATTTGTATCTCTGTGATCGCACACAAATGATCATAAATACTGGTCCAGTGTTGCTGGACGACCATAAAACATGAACTAAATTACCTTCCTCAGATTTGCATCGCCAACACTCTGATGTGGGTAATATCCCTAATCTGAATAATCTGGAAGGAGTCCAATAAAAACGATGTATAATTTTGAATTGGATAAGACGAATTCTTGCATCCCTTGTGTGTGTCTCTGTTCTTGCAGTACCTTTCTCTTCAGATTTTTTTTTTGCCTTTTTTTCCTCCACCATCTTAGTTAAGCACATTAGCATGTGAGGAATTGCTAATTAGCGCTAAAAGCATAGCTTAGGCTTTTAGGAATAGCAACACCTTGCAGGTATTTGGTTTTAAATTCCTGGGTTGTTTGACAATCTTACATTCTGAACACTGAAGGCAAGGCAGGTTTATTTGTAGAGCACAACTCGTACCCGAGGAAATTCAAAGTGCTTCACACAAACGTATAAGAAGACAGATAAAATCAGTCCACAGAACATCAACACAATTATTAATTAATAACATTAAAAGCAAAGAGGCAGATAAAATCAATCCATAAAAACATAAATATAATCCTTCATTTGAAGAGTACAGATAAAATACTTTCATATGTACAACTAAACAGAACTGTTTTCAGCCTGGATTTAAACATTGTCAGAGTTGAGGTCTGTCTCACACCTTCTGAAATCCAGGTCCAGATCTTAGCTGCATAGAACTGGACCACAGCCTCCCTGTGTTTGGTTCTGACTCTGGGCACCAGCAGGAGAACCTCCCAGAGGTTCTCAGAGCCCGACATGGTTCATATGGCAGAGGAGCATCTCTCCTAAAAACTCCTCTCTATGTGTTGAAATTTCATTTTCCATTTTTTATTTATTTTTTTCATGATAAGAATCCCGTCCTGCCGAACAATGACTGAGGGCCAATTCATGCTTTTGGTCCACATGGCATAAATGCTGTCATCCACCCAAGTCCACAAGCTCCATGTGGGACCCCTCTGTGGACGTTCACATGCAGCCCAAAACTGGTGACCAAAAAAAAAGAAAGCTTCCATCCAAACATTTAGAATTTGTCATTTGAAAGGGCTGTAATGGAGGGAGACATTTGAGATGCTTTGAGTTGAGCCTACTTTCCACTGATGGAGCCCAAACACAGAGGGAGGTTCTGGATTCTCCACAGAACCTGTGCTACGGGCACACACTGTGCTTGGCACATCTCAGGAATAATCACACTGACACGGTGCTACGGTCCGATCTGTAAATAGATCTGAAACGCCACAAGACTGAATCAGTCTGTTTTTAAACTGTCATTGTGCACTGCAGTTTAAAGCTAGAAACGGTCGGCCGTGTCTGGTAGCGTATAGAAACACCACATGGACACTTTAACAAGGTAAAAATTAAATAAATAAAAAATGTAGATTTTACTGTATAGGAGTCTTTCAGAGATCCCCAGATTCAATACAACTCATCCTGTGGGGAATTCAGATTCAGATTTATTGATCCCTTTGGTTTGGCGCCTCAGGGAAATAGTTGAATGTGTGTTTATCCTAAATGTTACAGCAGTTTGTCCGTTTGCTTACTTTCTGTAAAACCGCAAATCTAAATATTGGTGCAAATAAAAAAGAGAGGGGATTCCTGTAGAAACCACAAATGTTTGTGTAGCATTTTGTGCCGATCCATTTGTTAGACATCAAGATGTTTCAGTAATCTTGTTAAATCTTTAACCTGGCGGTGATCTGATCAACACTTCTGACACATGTTCAGTTCTGGATCACAAAATTCAGCTTCATCACGATGCTCGATAAAAAGTCAGTGAATCAACGCGTCATTTGGTTGTTGGTGTATTTCACCGCATGCCAACCAGATTCCAAAAATGTTCTAAGAAAGTTCTACTAATGTTTTCAGTGGGAACTTTTCTTGCAGTTCCCAGAATGTTTGTCGTAAAGTCAGAATAACTGAAGACATTCCAAGAATGTTTGGTGATAACACCGTTAGACAAAGTCGACTGAAGGCTGCTTTGCACCTTCGTTGTCATGTAACATTTTGGGAACGTTTTTATAGACGATACGGTGCGTTCTCCTCGACAACGTCCCCAAAATGTCTTCAGAACATTGCAGGCAGAACTTTGTTAACAGATCACAATGCAGGAACGTTTTACGGAGAACGTTCTGTCATCTGACGCCTTGAAAACATTTTCCAAACGTTGCACTGACAACATCTTCCCTTTGTTATCGCGGTGGAAACGTCTTTTCTGAGAACGTTCTATGATGTGTTCGCTCAACGTAACGGCAAATGGTAAGAGGTTACTGCTCGTTATTAAAAACAGTAACAATATCTGGAAAACAGTTTCTGAATGTTGGTTTAAGAGCGTTATTTCTTTGTTATCATAGAACATTGTGAAAACGCCACCAAAACATCCTCAGACCAACAGTACGTACTTTTTTTGTTTGGTTTAATTTACACTCGTTTAATTAATCAAATCACTTTCTTTAACGAGAGCAATAAAAGTTGGTGAGAGCCAGCATAA